CCTTAGAGAACTTCGCCCCTCCCCGAAGCAGCCCAGCCCTTGGGGACGCCCCAAGGCTGACCGTGCCAGGGCCTCCCAGAGTCCAGGGCTCTGAGCATGGACTGTGACCCTTCCTCAGTGCTGGAAGAGGAGTTCTGGAGACATCCGGGGTCCCGGGCCTAGTGTGGAGGGTGGGAGGTTATGGTGGGGACAGGGCCAAAGAGCAGAGCTGTAATGAAAGAAAAACAGTAAGGGGGAAAAAATGAGAATAAAGAACATTGCTCACATACCTACTTAGGGACAATGATAACATCAGCATCCTGGCTGTTATCTCCTGGGACATCTTTATTATAGCCAGGAGGTAGGCCAGTATAGCCTCATGGTACAAAGAGGGAAACTGAGACATGGACCCAGGCAGGTTACTGGGGAAGACTAAGGGTTTGGGGGTGGATCCATTTTACTTAAGTCTAAAGTACTTTCTCATTTCTTGCTTCTTCAGAAAAAAATAGCACATTAAGACTGGAACAGGACTGGTAGAGCTCTTCCTAGCATGCTTCAGGCCCTGGGTTCAATCAGCAGCAACGTGGAAAGAAAACTTGGGATAGCAAAGGGTATAAGGACTAGAAGACCCGAGTGTGCATCCTACATCTGCCATTTCAAGCTGCAAGTTTGTTCTGTAGATAAAAAATAAATGCCAGGACACAGTCTCTGCCTTTTTCCTGAAGTCTCTGCTCTCTAGGCTCTCTGTCCTAGGGAAAATTGTGTGTGTGTGTGGGGGGGTGTTACCAGGGATTGAATCCAGGCCCTCTCTACCACTGAGCTACATCTCTACCCCTTTTTAAATTTTTATTTTGAGACAGGATCTGGCTAAGTTGTCCACACTGGCCTTGAACTTGCAATCCTCCTGCCTCAGCTTCCTGAGTGCTGGAATTACAGGCATGCACCACCATGCCTGGGCCCTAGGAAACTTTTAATCTGTGTGTATGACATGTAATGTTGACTGAGAGTCTGTAACAATGACCCTAAAAAACTTAAAAAAGAAACACAAAAAAACAGCTCTGAATGGGTCCAGGCACAGAACCACTCCAGGATCCCTTTGTCTTCCTGAGTTTAATGCCAGCTCACTGCTCTGCATGTGTGACTGCCTTGTCCCTTCACACAGGGAACACATTTATTTGCATAGTTCTTCCAGGGGAAAGTGCCTTGTGGGGACTCAGCTTACTTTGGGGCCAAAAGCAGGTGCTTTCAGAGCTCTGACCTTGTGCCTTTCACAGCAGATGGCTGTGGGGACCCAGTCACACAACCAGTTCATACTATAAAGGCTGGAGGTGATCAGAGGAGGGCTCCTTCTGCCCAGGGCTGATGTAGACCCCACAAGTGGCCCCTGCAAGCTTCCCACAGCACCAAGGAAACCCCTTGGTGGGACAGGGGAACAGGGGATTTGAACTACAGGGTGAGGGGTGGGGAAGGTGGAGGGTTCGGGTTTGCAGGAGGCCAGACTGTTGGGATGAGCTAGAGACCAGCTGAGCTTGCAGAAATGAGCTGGCAAAGCTGACCAGGCCCAAGAGCTGTGGACCCCAATGCTGTGATAAGGAATTTGGAATTGAAGCTATGTGCAGAAGGGCTGGAGGGAGACCTGGTAGTTTTGTGAGCAGAGGAGGTATGATAAGAGTGAGATTTTAAACCAGGAGCCAGACCCTGGTTGGCTTGATGATAGGGAGAAAAGGAGGTATGAACTGTGGGCTACTGTGAGAGAAACCACTGCACTAACGATCCATGTGGAGAGGAGAGGCCGAGGGGGGAACAAGAGTGCAGCCTGGAACCTTAGGATGGGGGTAGGGGGATGGGGGAAGAAAGCAAGTGTGGGACTTGGGCGAGGATGGTAAGTTTGGCTTCAAACTCCAAATCCTCCTGGGGGCAGGAAGAGGGGAGATGATCATCTTGGGGTTGGTGGTGTGGGGTTACCTGCAGCTGTGGCTTATCAGGGTGCACTACAGAGATGACAAGTCCTCAGAGATGCGGCTCCCAAAACCCCTCCCCAGAGAATAGAGCACCCTTGTCTGCTTCTGGTGGATGGGTACTGCTGCAGGTCACAGGCAGCTCAAACGCCCCTCCTGGATAGCAGAGGTGAGGGCAAGCCGGGGGTCGGAGAAAGCCTGGGCTTCCTGTGAAGATGACCTCTGCTCTCTCCAAGGGCAACCTTGTTGCACACCACAGGGATGGCTCCCGGTCCACCCCTCTCACCCATAGCTTCCCAGAAGCTCAGACCAAGGAAACCCCTTCTCCCTTGCTGGGATGGGATAGCTGTGAGTGGATCGAGCCCCTTGCTGCTGGAAAGACCTGGAGCTGGGGACAGCCAGGGCATTGGGCTGACACCTGTAGGATGGGCTCCCTGGTGCACACAGTGCCCCAGTTTTCCCTGTTGTCTCACTTGCCTCTCTCTTCTCCTTTGCCCTGCATGGCTCCTCACTGAGCTCCTACTATGTGCCAGGCACTGCTGGGTGCCAGGGCCAAATGGAGCAAGCAGAAGGTGGCTCTATCCTTGACAGCTGCAGGCCAGTATAGGAGACAGTTGGTAATGGGTTACACAGGGTGGGTGTAACCGAGTTGCTGGACTCAGACTACTGGCGGGAGGAAAAGTTACTCAGGATGCACCCTTGAGCTAACAGCTAGCAAGGAGGGGAGTTGGCATGACCAGAACAAAAGAAGACAAGGAACTGCATGTTTGACAGAGGGAACAGCATAGGTGGAGACTGTGGTAGGGGAAGGGGGAAAGGGGTGCCCAGTGGAGGGCAGTAGAGGGCCTTTATTAGTACTTAGTAAATAGCCTGTAATATATTGGGCAGCTTCCCACAATAACTGCTAGTTGGAAATTCCGGGGGCCAGAGTTCTACCCCAATCTTGCACTAATGCTCTGTAACCTTGGGCAAAATGTTGCCCCTCTCTGGGCCTTTTTGATAAATCACAATGCCCTTACTCAGTATACTCTGATCCTAGAATGCTGGGAGCCTTTGCCCCAGCTGTTCCGATCAACCTTCCTGCGTGTCATCCAGACCACAGGGCGAACGTCATCTCTCCAGACACAGCCCTGACCACCCACATCGCTTGATTCTCATTCTCTGTATTACATCACTCGACTTTATTTTTGTCAAACTCATATGCAATCTCAGATGCTCCTGTTGGTTCTTTTGCTTGTCTATTGTCTGTCTGCCCCTTGCCCCGGAGCTCAGTGACTTTAGAGACTCTTGCAATTTTCAGCCAAGTTGCAGAGGCGGGTTCAGTGGGGGAGACCAGCAAGAGGTCCCACCCTGGAGTCCAACAGGCCTGAAATCAAACTGTCCCTACCCCAGTTACTTTGTTCTGAGGACCTGGGCAGGCTGATCAGACTCTCTGAGCCTTGGTCTTTTCATCTGCAAAGTGGATCGGACCTCATGCAGCATCCTCCACCCTGATGCAAGACTTGACTCCCAATTCCAGGAAGTGGGGGTGGCCAGGAACTAATTCAGGTCAAGGTCAAGCCATTGCACATTTTAGGGAAGCAGTCTACCACTGAGTCATATCCCCAGTCCCTCATCCATTCTGGGTTGTTTGTTTGTTTTTAACAGTGAAAAGAATGCACAGAATTTATTTTATGCCTAAAGCATGGACATATTAAACTCTGACTTCATCTGTGTCTGTTGTCCTTCCCCTGTAGCTGCAGCCTCCATGTGTCATTGGTCTCTCCGAGGAGGGGCTCCAGCATCAGATGGAAACTCTAACCCCTTGGAGTCTTTCCGGGAGCAGTTTTAAGCACACACCAAGTCACGGGCTCTGTCTGAGCCAAGACTACTCTGAGTCTGTCCATTTCAGAGATGAAGAAACAGGCGCTGAGCCCCATCCATTCGCCCAGGGTTACCCAGACGGTTGGGAGAGGGGTGAGGTGAGACTCTGAGCCCACCCAGGTCTGTCTGACTCATGCTGTGCTTCTGCCCACCCTGCACGATGGCCCTGTGCACACAGCAATTCCTTCGTGAGTACCTGTGTCACGGGCTGGGCCAGGGGAGGTGTTGGCAGGGCATGGCTGTAAACTCACACGTCGATTTGTCCACAAATACTTAGAGTACCCACTGTGTTCCAGGCACAGGAAGTGTCTATGTCCTTCTGGGAGATCCAGGATCATGTACAGAGGTGATGAGATGTTGGCACACATGTGTGCTTGTGTTTGCACAGATACATGCAGATGTATCTACATATGCACACACACATACAAAGTATTTATTCGCCTATCAACACCCAGGCTTCAGGAGGTGAAAAAAGACACAATAGGGGCCAGGGATTTAGCTCAGTGGTTTCGCCGCCTGCTGCGCAAGTGCAAGGACCTGAGTTTGATCCTCGGTACCAAAAAAAAAAAAAGACACAGTACACATTGGCACACATTGCACTCAGCACACACGCACCCCAGCCACACACCCCTGGTATACAAGCAACTCACCAACTCAAGCTTTCCTCTATCCTCTCTTGCCCTCCTACCCCACACCTCTCATCCCCAACATCTTAAGAGAGACCCATCCAGCCATAAGAAAAATATAAAAAGCCAGGAGTGTTGGTACATGCCTGTAATCCCAGATGCTTGGGAGGCTGAGGCAGGAAGATTACATGTTCCAGGCCAGCCTGAGCAATTTAGCAAGAATCAGTCTCAAAATAAAAAGGTCTGGCCATGTAGCTCAGTGATAAAGGGCCCCTTGGTCCAATCCCCAGTACTGGAAAAAATAAATGAATAAACAGATATGAACTGTCTCCATGGCCAGAGCCCCCAGCTGGCTGGGTCATGTGACTTCCTTTTCTGGACAGAGTATGGGCATCCAGCCCACCTCCAGGCGTAAACTCTTTTGGTCTTACCACCTAGAGACTGCCTTCCCAGCACCCCAAATCCTCTCCCATGAGGCAACAGAGAGACAGGAGCTTTAAAAACCAAGCAAGTTTTAAATATGTTAGCAAAATATTATTAACATTAAATATAGATCATAAATAAGCCTTATAAATATGAACCTGATTACAAACTGATAAAAAAAAAATCAATAAATTAGTCACGCCATCCAAAGAATTGACCCAGGGGCTTCTGGGACCCTCTTCCAAGGCTGTGGTTTCAACCTGAGAAAATTCCATGATTCGCCACCAGAGGGAGCAGCCAACTGTGCAGAATCAAGACCGGCACATTCTGGGGGCTGGGAGGCCTCCTACAGAGAAAATTCAGCATGAGTCCACCCCAAGGCTATTTGCACCATGTGTCCTCATTTTCGGAGAATTTGATGTCCATCTTATATCACGGAGTCCCAGAAACTGCCAGGCAAAGGGAACCTTAACGCAGTGTCCAAATTCCTGGCTTCCCAAAGAAAAAACTGAGGTCCAGAGAGGTAAAGTGATCTGCCTGAGGTCACTTAGTGAATGAAGGATGGAGTTGGGATCTGAGCCTCATTCCCCTAGACCTGCAGATCAGTGCTCCTTCTAGGGCACACTGCCCCTGCCATAGCTGCCTAAAGTGAGGTCACTCTGATATCCAGGTGTCTAGCCTGAATAGTGATGAGGCATAGGAGGGAGGCCAGCTCAGGCCCTGACCGCCCCTTGGAACCCTGCCACCACAGAAAGGAGGAAGTCTGGGGGCAAGAGCCCCACAAGTCATGAGAGGGAAGGGCCTCCGGGGAGTCTGAGGGGGCAGTCAGCCCAGCCATGAGTCAGCTTATGTCATCAGACCCCTGAATCAATGGAAAGTCGGCCCCTCATGGCCTGACCTGGCCACCCCACCAGGACTGGGAAACTCAGGCTGGGAGCACTGCAGCCTGGCTCTCCCCTAAGCCCAGCAGAGGTAGAAAGGGCCCGAGCAGCTCCATTTTTTAAAGTGCACTTCTGAGTGGTGGGGGACGGAGGGAGCAGATTTGGAAACCCAGGAGGGAGCTCAGCATCTTGCAACAGCTCCTCACATCCATAGAGCACCTGCTGGGTTCTTCACCTGCAGGGGCTGCAGCTCTCACTACCGGAACAGCTGCCCCCTGGGCACAGGCCTCTTGACCCTTCTGGAGGGCCTGGCCCTGCGGGCCCCCTTATGCAGGGCCTGGCGGGGGCTGTGTCTCCGGTTACGACTCAGGCTGTTCCCCCACTCCCCAAAGACCTGCCCCACAGAGCCCATGAAGCGGTGGTAGCCACACAGGAACTGGCAGCCCTCCAGCTTGGATTTGAAGAAGTTCAGGGTAGAGGGCATCAGTGTGGCCCGTGGGCCAGGCAGCAGGGGCTCTGGCGTCTCTGAGCAGTTGGTGAGCAGCTCTGACATGCAGTAGATGTTGTTCCTGACGCCCTGGATGTTCCTCGTGGCCACCTGCATCTCTGGCATGTTCTTGCCCTTCAAGAGATGCTGCTGTAAAGCAGCCAGTCTGTGCAGGATGCCGTTCAGGGTGGCACTGACAGTCTGCAGAAAGCCATGCCTGCTCAGCCCCCGCAGGGTGTCCTCACTGGGGAAGGCCCTGGAACATTTCATGCAGGACTCTCTCAGGACAGGTGTGTCCAGGCCTTGGAGGCGGATCTGGAGGGACAAGGGAGTTAGGATGTGCATTCTGGAGCTCCCCTCCCCCCAAGCACACACACAGATGAGTCTGCCCTGGCTCCCTTTGAAATAGTAGACTTGACACATCCCTATGTGCTCTTCCTATCAGATAGATTCGGAAACCAAGGCCTGAGAGATGGCAACTCTAAGATCATGAAAGCAGGGTAGGGTCAGGGGCCTGTGTGGTGACTACGTAGGCAGTGGCTGGCATGGGGGTGTGTCAGTGGGAAGAGGCTTCGGGAGGGTTGGACTCTGCTCACTGGTACATCGGGTGCCTGGCACAAGGCCCGGGGAAGGGGCCGATAAATATGCCAGACAAGCAGGTGGATGAGGGTTAGAGTTGGGATCTAGGGAACCTGTGCTGTCCCCGCAGCTTCTCAGGGTTAGGTGTGGAATAACACAGGGACTCAGTTTCCCTACACTCTCCATATCGAGTGGGGCCTGGGCCAGGTTCTCCCTGCGCTTACTTCCTTGCTAACCCCCTGCCATTCTCTGAGGCTCAGATGCCACAAGGGGCCTGGTGCTCACAAAGGGCTCCAGGAGGCAGCTGGTGTCCTTCATGAGGTTCGCCTGGCTCCGGAGCTGGCCGAGGAGCTGTGTGTAAGAGTTGGAGCATCTGCACATGGCCACTGCCGCCTCCACTGCTGGGCTCAGGAGCAGGAGTCCGAGGACCAGACCTGGGGCAGAGAAGGACGGGTCACCGGCTTGGTGAAGAAGCTACAGGTGGGAGCCCTGGGGAGGGGCTCAAGAGGGCCTTGGGGGCTGGCCACAGAGCAGGGAGCCTGTGTGTGCACAGGAATGCCACTAGGGTCACCACCAGCTTCCCAGTGAGTTACTGCCCAGGGCCCAAAGCGGGGTTCGGGGTTTGAGGGATCAATGGCTGTAATTTAACACCCAGGCCTGTGGATGGAAGCTGCTGAATGCGACCAGCCAGGTCTATCTTGCCCACATCCCAGGCCTAACCTCAGGTGCTGACAGCAGGTGACTCAGGGGAAGGGATTATTTTCAAGGCCTCTGGGCTAAGAACTGGCCATGGTCCCAGGACTTCTCAGCTACCCGGGCCCCCTTAACAGACCACGGCCCTCTACATAAGTGCACTTGAGAGGGGTTTGGGGCAGCAGCCCAGAGCAATGGGGTGCCCTGAGCTCTGGGCACCAAGACAGGAAGAGCCAAAAGGGTCCACCTTTCTTCCCAAAGGCTTGGTATGGCAAGGACATGGGAGCTCATCCAGCACATGTGCCTATCTTGCTGACAGGTAAACCAAGTCACAGGAGAACACCTTGCGTGAGTCACAAGAGGCCAACCCCCCACCCAGCCTGCCTCCTGTGTCCTTAAGTGGCCCCTTCTGTCAGGGCCACCGGCGATGCCATGAGCCCGTGGGAAGGTTTCAGGGGGCCAGTGCAGTTATGGCTCACTGCCCCTCACCCCCACAGGCACCAGCAGCCACGTGGTCGGAAGGGGCCTGTGGCGCAATGGCCCGGAAGGCGGTGACACCATCCTTCCCTTCCTACAAACCGCGCAGCCCCTTGGGGAGGACCAGCTGCTGGGAAGAGCCGAGGGGCAGGGCGCCCAGGCGTGCCGACCGCAAGGCACCCTTGCTACTTCCCCAGGTGACTCGGTCGGGATCTGGGAGGGGGACTCGCGGCACGTGTTTGGCCGCAATTCCATGGGACCAAGAGTCAGCAGGGGTGTGTGACCTGACCCACAGGAGCCACGGGAGCCCCGAGCCTGATCACCTGGTGGGCCTGGCTTCCAGGTGAGGCTTCCCAGGTTGGTGAGAGTGAGGGCTGTGGGTGATGTCACAGGGCTCTGCGTGCCTGTCACCACGTGGGTGTGGCTATGTGTGACTGTGTGGGCTCCACGGCCCCTAGGCCTGGCTGACTTTCTATCCATCCCAGACCCCAAGAATCAAATCGGGGCAAGCAGGAGACCCTCTCTGCCCACACATTGCCCCACTTCCATCCCTGGCTGGGCAACTTTCGGTCCCGCCCCGCCCTTGCGCAAACATCTTCCACCTGCCTCCTGCTTCCCGGCCTCTTCCTCGCCCCAGTATTCCCAGAGTTGCCTTATTTCCCCTTCCCGCTCGCCTTCTGGGTAGACCCTGTCTGCACATGTCGAGTTGCTGGGTTCTCAGCGGAGTCCTCCCCTCGCCTGATCCTGGCTCTCTCCCTTCCTCAGCATCCTTCTGCCCCGTGCCCGGCTGATCCAGGTCCTGGAGGGCAGGCGCCCTGTTCCTTGCTGGTCCCCTGGGCACAGCACATGGGTGCTGGCTCAGAGGAAGTACTTACTGAGCAGCGTCCTCCATGTGAGTTGTGCCCGCATGCTGGGTGCCTGCGCTCCGGCCTGTGCCTGCTGGGGGTGATACCTCCAAGCTGGGAGTCCTGCGGGCTGGCAGCCACTTTATGCCCGCTGGGGCGATTGGCCAACACCCCGTGAGGTGGGTGGGGAGGGGGAGGGGGAGGGGGAGGGGGAGGGCAGGCCTTCTGGGAACATGACCCCAAAAACCAAAGTTTCCAAGGCGGCCAATGGGCATGCCTGCTCCTCCTCCTGTTTTCTTCGAATTCGTTCTTCGAGGTCAGCCCCACGCCCAAGGATGATGCAAACCGCAGCCTCAGGCTTCTTGGGGTGAGTGGGGAGCAGGGGGTCTGTGCCATCTTCGGGGGGCTGTTCCCAGGGTAGGAGCCAGGGACCGCAAGCCAGGCCTCCGGAGGCCCCCAGCCGGTCATGGCCCAGGAGCTTTTGGCCCAGCAGGACACCAGCAAGGTTTGGGGCTGAGGGGAGCAAGACATCTTCCTTGTTGAGTGCCCTTCCCGCCCTCTCGCTGGGGCTGTTGGGACATCTGTGAGCGGAAACCACCAGGCCCTGGGCACAGAGCCAAAGCCAGGCCCAGGCTCGCAGCCCCGAGATTGTGGTTCTAGCATCCTCCAGCCAGACTGCCCCAACTCCATTCCCCCATCAGCCACCCCACCAGACTTCCTATCCCGGGCCACTGCCCACAGCCATGTCCCTTCTCTGCAGGCAAGGCCCTCTGGGAAGAACTGGGCACATGAGCAAAAGAAGCAAGAAACAGGGTTCACAGGCCTTCTGACATGCTGTGTGGCCTGAGCCAAGTCACTTAACCTCTCTGGGCCTCAGAAGCCCCACCTGTTAAAAAAAAAAAGGGAAGAGAAAAGCATTTCCTAGGCCGCCTCATAGGGCTGGTGCCACCATGGACATAAAAGGTAAAAGCCCTCAGAAGGGAAAAGATAAAACGAAACTCTATTCCAAGTACTAGCTGCTGAGGGGAGATGGGGGAGATGGGGAAGCTGTGAGCTCAGAGGGGAAGCCTGGGAGGGGATCTGCTGCGCCAACGGTTAGAGACAAGGTTTCACTTTCTCTGAAAGATAGCGATCGTGGGCTGGTCCTCGCTCCTCAAAGCCTAAGGCATCAGAGCAGCCTTGGAGACAGCACCTCCCTAACAACCTGCTAATTACTAGGGTAAACTGAGGCATGGGGACGAGAGGACAAGGAGGTGTGGGGGCCGGCTGAGGCCTGCAGGAGCTGCCTGACAGCCCCAGCACAACTCGAAGAATTGGAAGAGGATCCCTGGCCTGTGCCCTCAGGAGTCCCGAGGGAAGGTGGCCCCCAAAAGGCTGGAGAGCCAGGGCAGAGCCTTGGGGCTTCCAGGGGGCCCAAGCTGCTGCAGCTGAGGGCACTGAGCCTGCAGAGCTGACAAGGAACTCAGATGTGGCCAGAACAGAGCTCCTCCCACCTGCTCTCCACCTCTGCAGACCTGACCCTCCATTCGTGTAGTCATTCAACAAACGAGTAAAGGCCCCACTGCATCCCAGCCACTCCCAGGTGCTAAGGAGCTCACAGGAGGCAAATCCAGAGCAGCTCCAGGCCCAGGCAGCTGCTCCACACTCCACCCTTCCCCACATCCAGCGTGGCGCTCACTGCACGAAGCCCAATACCACACCTTGGCCACCCTCCTGGCCAGTTCTGGATTCTCATCCTAAGAATGTCACTTCCACTAAATTCCTCATCTCTGCTCGCCCCCACAAAGCTGTTTTCTGGGGCCCTGGCCAAGTGGGGATCCTTCTCCATTTCACATCCCTGATCGCGTCTTACAGCAGCCTGGGAGAGAGATAGCTCATCTTGCTTTGCTGAGGTGGTGAAGCCCCCGGAAGCGCAGAGGCTGGCTGAGGGCAGAACAGCCAGATCCAGCCAGAGAGCACCTGCCCCTCTTGGCTACTGCTGCCAGACCATGAGACTTGGAGACTGTCACATGCCTTCACCTTGTTCTGTCCCCTCCTAGTCCAAGCCAGGTGTATTGTCTCCGGGGTTTAAAAGGCCTCGGGCTAGGGATTTAGCTCAGTGGTTCCGCAGCCTGCCTCCCAAGCACAAGGTCCCGAGTTTTATCCCCGGTACCAAAAAAAAAAGGGCCTCAAAGGCACAGAGAGGGGAAGTTGCCCCTCTCAGGCTGCACAGCAATTAAGACAGCGTTCAGACTGAACCTGTCTAATTAATTTGAAGGACCATATTCTTACCACAGGGCTAATCAGAGTGCTGTGTGGGACCCCAGGACCAGCATCAACAAAGGCAAGAAGAGTTTGCACATTCATTTGCCGGGGCTGGAATAACATTACAGTTGTCCCAGGACATCCACCAGGGATGGGTTCCCTGAAATGTGTCTCTTGCATAAAACGGTATAGCATTTGCATACACTTGTCCAATCTGCTGCCTCCATGCCACTTACCCTCTGTTTTTTAATGTTATAATTATAAAATACTTAAATAGGTGTGAAGCTAGGCATGGTGGCACATGCCTGTAATCCCAGCACTTGGGAGGCTGAGCCAGGAGGATTGACATGAGTTCAAGGCTACCCTAGGCTACATATTGAGTTCGAGACTGGCCTGAATTACATAGCGAGACTGTCTCAAAAACAAAAACAAAAAAAGCGAGGTGTGGTGGTACATTCCTGTACTCCAGCACGCGAAGCCTGGGGCAGGAGGGTTGCAAGTTCAAGCCCAGTCTGGACAACTTAGTGGCTTATTGAGAGCCTGTTGCAAGGTAAAAAATAAAAGGGCTATGAATGAAGCTCAGTGAGAAGACCCTGGATTTGATCCCCAATACCACAAAAAATAAATACTGTAGTTAGATAGGAAGTTTTGCTATTATTAATTGTATTATATATTTTATATGTAGCCCCAAGACAATTCCTCTTCCATTGTGGTCCAGGTAAGCTGAAAAATTTGACAGATTGATACTAAATCACTCCTAAATTGCTTATAATGCCTAACACAATGCCAGTGCTATATAAATGATTGTTATGCTGTATTATTTAGGGAATAATGGCAAGGAAAAGAAAGTGTGTACAGGTCCGGTACGGATGAAACCATCGGAGGCCTAACTGCATTTCCAGTTTGTAGGAGGCTGAACCTGCAAGTACAGAGTCCATGGATCCCAAGGGCTGACTGTACCACAGGCTGGGAGGCTTCAGCAACAGAATTTATCTTCTCACAGTTCTGGAGGCCCGAAGTCTGAGGTGGAGGTAGAGGTGGCAGTGTGCTTGGCTCCTTGGCTTGCAGATGGCCTTGGCATGCTGTGTCTTCACATGGGCATCACCGGTCTGTGTGCCTCAAGGATTGGGCTCCACCCAAAGACCTCATTTTACCTTAATCACTCCTTCTTGAAAGCCCTATCTCCAAATACAGTTGCATGTGCAGATGCTGTGGATCAGGACTTACACAGACAGGGCTGTGGGGAAGATGTGACTCAGCCCACAACAGCCTGCAGGAGGCGGCATGGTTGGAGGGCTCCAGGAAGTGGAGACGTTGTCAGGGGATGCACCCAGGGGATGCACAGGAGCACAAGGAGTGGTGGCTGGAAGAGGCCTGGGCACTTGACCATCAGAGGGGAGAGTGAAGGAAGATGCGTCAGCGTTTCTGGTGAGGTCAGTGCCCAGTGACGTCCCTCTCGCCAGCAGGAAAAGCTTGCGACACGGCCCAGCCAGTATAAATAGGATCCCCAACCACAGGGCCTGGGCTGCCCCCTCTTTCTGAGCCACGTCAGCCAGCTCCGCGTGATTTGGAGAGGGAGAGGACAGGCTTGGTTCCACAGAACTGCTATTCCCCAGGCTTCCTGGCCCACTCTCTGGAAGTGGGGCCCTACTACTTTAAATGCAAGGATAGGACCTGTGATGGCTTGGGTAAGAGTCCTAACCCACTAGGTGGAGAGAAAGCGCCCCTCCCCAGGCGGAGCTGGAGAGTCAATTTCCAGTCTCAATCTGTTTGTGAGTCAGTGTCCTTGACCCAGAAACATCCCATTTCTGAGCCTCAGTTTCCCCTCCATACACTGCAGTGACACAATGACAAAAGACTATCCTAGCCAGTCACAGTAGCACATGACTGTAATCCTAACCCTCAGGAAACTGAGGCAGGTGGATCACAAGTTTTAGGCCAGCATGGACAACATAGCTCAAGGCCAGCCTGGCCTACAAAGTGAGACCCTGTCTTTAAAAACAAACAAATAAAAAAGAAATAAATAAGAAAATCCAATTTAGGCCCAGGCATGTAGCTCAGTGGCACCACACCTGCCTGGAAGAGCAAGGTCCTGAGTTTGATCCCTGGTACCAGGGCAGGAAAAAAGAAAAATCCAATTTTAAAATGGGAAAAGGATTAGAATAGACATTTCTCCAAAGTAAAGACAGACAAATGGCCAATGAAAAGATGCTAGGAGCCAGACTCAGTAGTACACACCTGTAATCCCAGCTACTCAAGAAGCTGAGGCAAGAGGGCCACAAGTTTAAGTCCAGCATGAGCAACTTAGAGACCTATCTCAAAATAAAGTTAAAAATGTGCTGGGGGTGTAGTTCAGGGGTGGAGCACTTCCCTAGCAGGCACAAGGCTCTGGGTTCAACTCCAGTACCACCTAAGAGAGAGAAAGAAAGAAAGAAAGAAAGAAAGAAAGAAAGAAAGAAAGAAAGAAAGAAAGAAAGAAAGACAGACAAGTAGGCTGGGCATGATGCTATATACCTCCCAGTACTCTGGGAGGCTGAGACAGGAGAATCCAAGTTTGACCACAGCCTGGGCAAATTAGCAACTTAGTGAGACCCTGTCTCAAGATAAAAAATTTTAAAAGTCTAGAGATGTAGCTTAGTGAAAAGTCCTTGGGTTTAATCCACAGTAGTAGAAAAAAAATACTTGGCATCATTAGCTATCAGGGAAATGAAAATTCAAACCAAGATGAGATACCATGTCACACCCACTAGGGTGACCATAATCAAAGACAGATAACAAAAAGTGTTGGTGAGGATGTGAAAAAATTGGAACCCTTGTGCGTTACTGGTGAGAATGTATGACGTTCCCTGGAAAGCAGTTTGGCAGTTCCTTAAATGGCTATACATGAAGATGTTATACAACGAATAATTCCACTCCTAGAGAACCCAAGAGAACTAAAACTATACATCCAAAAAAACTTTTAATATAGAGAACACATATATCCACACACAAGTTTGCAAATGGTCATAGGAGCAATTATTTACAACCTCCAAAAAGTACAAACAACCCAGACATCTGTCAATAGTAGATGGACAAACAGAATGTGGGCTATCTAATAATACAGTGGAGTATTAATGAGTCACAAACAGGAATGAAGTACTGACACCTAGTACAACATAGATGAACCTTGAAACCAGCACACTAAGTTAAAGCCGCTGGACACAAAAGGTCACACGTTGTATGGGGGTTTTTTGTTTGTTTGTTTGTTTGTTTTTTGAGACAGGGTCTCACTATGTAGTTTAGGCTGGCCTTGAGCTCACTATGTAGCCCAGGCTGGCCTCAAACTCAAAGTGATCCTCCTGCACTCAGCCCTCCGAGTGCTGGGATTACAGGCGTGCACCGCCACACCCGGCATATGGTGTTATTTGTATACAGTGTCCAGAATGGGCAAACACAGAGACAGAAAATTGATTAGTGGTTGCTGGGGCTGGGGACCCAGGAGTAGGAAGTGACAGCGAAAGGGCATAGGTTTTTTTTTTTAGGGAATGGGGGGGATGATAAAAATATTCTAGAATTTGCCTGGTATCCTGGCTCTTGGAGGCTGAGGCAGGAGGATCACTGTGAGTTCAAATCTAGCTTGGAATATACATAGTGAGACTGTCTCAAAAAAGCGAAAAAAAATTCTTGAATTAGACAGCAGTGATGATTGCATAACTCTAAATATACAAAAAACCACCAAATTTGATGGTATGTAAATTGCAGCTGAATTTTTAAAAATGCAGGGACTAATGCTACCTCTTAACACAGTCAGTGTAGTTCGGTGAGATGATCCCAGCCCACAGCAGGTGTCTGGTAAACATGTACCTGACAGTCACCGGGGCAGATGAAGGCACACATTTGCTTATGTCACAGGGTGGCTTTGAGGGCAGTTGAGAAAGTCCGTGTTACATAAACTCTGGAGTGAGGCAAGGATTGACCAGTTCAAAGAGGTCACCCTGGGTGCCGGGATCCCTTGACTCACAGTCTGCCGCTGAGTCCTTCTGGGGCCTGGCCTGTCCACAGGTGCAAGAAACCATGTCCCTTGTGCATGATGGTGACTCCCCACATTGGGTAACTGACCCCGCTTCCAGGGGCCTGAACACCTATTCAGGAAGTACAGCAGAGAGAGAGAAATGCCCTCTGCTCCATAACCTCTTACTGACCAGTGTCCCTAGCCCCTCAGACCTGCCCCTGCCATGGGGAATCCCCAGATGGAGGGGTGCAGCTGGGTGGGATGGCTGTGAGCACGCTGGCTGGGTGGCAGAAGATGAGGTGCTGCCCACTGTCCATTCTCTTGCTGGCCTGGGACCCCCATGCACACGTTCTCTGACCCCAGGTCCTATCTGGGCTGACAGGTGAGATGACCTCAGAGCAACCACAGCCCTAGAGAACCAGAGGTCCTCAGGGGCTCTCAGTGCTGAAATAATATGCTAAGTAAAAACAACTCTAAGCAGTTAATGGGATAAGCGAGTCCAAATGGATCCTGATTTTCTCATAATGACAGCATATAATAACACTTCTAAGTTTTTGTCTTGTTTTGATTTGTTTTTTGAGACAAGGTCTCACTCTGTAATTCAGGCTCACTATGAACTCACTATGTAGCCCAGGCGGGGCTCAACTCATGGTGATCCTCCTGCCTCAGCCTCCTGAGTGCTGGGATCACAGGTGTGCCCCACCACACCAAGCTACAGTACCTCTTTTGAAACATCAAATTCTTGCCCAAAATGTTTGGGTGCCACCAGCATATTTCTGGAGCCCCATCAGTGCGCAGGGCCTAGTATTACACATTTCAGCTAGGGTGCCCCTTAGGAGCCAGGATCACTGTTTCTGCCCTGAAGATGGGGAAACCGAGGCCTGAGAAGCAGAGACCTGAGAGAGATCCAATGCAGCCTTCCAGAGACAGGAGATCCACCTCCAAGCCCAGGATATTGTGCAGGACCGATATTGCCAAGTGACTCAAGGTAAGCGGGAACACTTGTCTCCTGAGGGCTTTGGGAAGAGAGCTCACCTAGGGGAGGCTGCCTCTGAAGCAAGGCAGCCCAGGACTAGGAGAGAGGCGATGGGAGTGACCGGAAGCCTGACAAGGACAGAGGAAAATAGGCAGGGGGTCACCCACACTTGCTGGGCTTTGCAATCCCTGGGAAGGGGCTTTTACCGCACGGCCTGGTCACACCCCTTGCCTAAAACACTTTCCTGGTTTCCTGTTGTTAAAGTCATGACCATGCCACCAGGCCCTGCCACCTCCCAGTCTTACACTTACCTCTTTCACTCACCCTCTTCTTCACCTTCCTCGGTCCCTCAGGGGAAGTGAGTTCACACCTCAGGGCCTCAGCACATGCTGTTCCACACCCTGAGCCTTCCACCTTCTGACCTGCCACCCAGACCTCAAAGTCCAGCCTAAGTCTTGCCCCTATAGGGAAGCCCTCCCTGACCTTTCTCCACCTATATCCTCAGCTCCTGTGAGGCTAGCAGCATCACATATAGCTCTGTGTAGCACTCGTTAAGGTGTGCATTTTTTAAATTGGGCATGGTGCCACACATCTGTATTCCCAGCACGCGGGAGACTGAGACCAAGACAGGAGGATTGCCTCAAGCTCAAGGCCTGAACTGCAGAGCAAGACCTTGTTTCAACACCCTCCCCTCCAAAAAAAGAAGTGTGCATTTTGTGGGTTGTCTCCCCAGCCAGACTGTAAATTCCAAGAGGATGTACACCGTGGTCTGGCTCCTCTTTGTCTCTCTGGTGTGTGGTTAGTGCCACAAAATGTAGTAGGTGCTGAAGAAACCCAGATGTGGCCATCTACAGAAGCCTCTGGAAAGATGAGCCTGGCTCCAGCCTTCAGGAAGGAGATGCATCCCTGTCCCACATCTGGCACACCTGGACCAAGCCTTCCAGAAGCACAGAGCTACTGACTGCTGGGTGAATCACCCGCTCCCACAGCCATTTCCATGAGTGCTCCTGGTTCCTTTTCCAAAGAAATCTGATTTCTGCCGTGCTCAATGCACTGCACCATGTGATTCCAATTCTGGGCAGCCTCGATTTGAAAGACGCTGACTTTTTCCTTTATGATAACTTCTTTTAAAAAACAAATTCAAAATCTGCTTTTTCACCCATTGCAGATTGCAACACTTTCCTGGAAAACAAACAGAAAAAGAAAAAGCCAAAGCAGTTTTCCTGTTTCCTTTAAAAAATTCATTTCGGAACAAATTCCACATGCAAGGCACAGACTGGTCACAGGAGGAGCCTGGTCTTCTACTGAAGGGGACGACCCTCTATTTTGTAAAAACAAAAGACAGATCACAGTGGCTTTTCAGTCCCTCATTTAACCTATAAATTGGGCAGGAGCCAGGGGTGAATCAGCAAGAGAAGGCTTATGGTCGAGTGAGTTTACATGATTACTTTATCCCAGCCAGTACTGGAAGGGTGAGCAAGCGTGCACACACACACACCCATACATGAACCAACACTCTGCGTGCAAGGGACTGGAAGACCCACTTGGCAGATGCCTGTTTTTCACCCCAGTGAGATGCCCATGGCCCCAGTGCCTCAGGAGGTGGCACCCAACCCACCCTGGCTTTAGCAGTACTCCGGGGTCTGCAATGCACCTATTCATCCTGAGCAGGACCAATCAGAACCCTTCCCTGGGACTGACATCACACACAGGAAGCACACCTCTGCCACATGGCTAGGGTTCAGATTCCTGATACCACAAAGCGACCCTCACAGGAAACCAACCTTCCCTGGCCCCACAGCGCCAGAGTGAGGTTCTGGAGAGAGGGTCAGGAGGCAGCCAACACAGCCAGGGAGGCCAAGCCATCTCCCTGACCCCTGTCCCTGTTGAAGCTAGGGTCAATCCGCAGTGTGTGCCTGCACAGGGCAAGAGTTAGCCTCCTCTTTGCTGGCTGAGTTGGTTTTCTGGCACTCGAAGCTAGGGGCCCTTCCTCCTGCACAAGCCTGAGGAGGTTGGGGGGGGGGAGGAGGGAGGAGGCGGGCTGAGCAGGAACCTTCTCTTGATGCCAGCCACCTGGGCACAACAGTGCAGCTGAGGTCTGAGCTCTGCTCCACAGAGAGGCAGCTAGAGAAGGGTGGTGGGAACAGACCGGATCCCCACAGGGTTAGGACAGAGGCGGGACTCACTCCCAGGACTGCCAATCACTGCCCCAAGGAAACGATGTGGAGCATGTGCTGGGGAAAGAGTTGCTTTCTTCCCCTTCTTGTTCTTGGGGAGACCATGAGCAATCCCTGGCCATTTAGCTTGCTACCAAAATGAGAAATCCTTCGATTCCAAGGAGAGAGAAAGTCCTAAACGTGTGCTGTCTCCAAGGACCTACTGGTGGCCGAGCAATAGGTGGTGGGTATGATCTGCTGGAAACAAGTCATCCTCTCCATAGAATGAGCCTGGAAGAACGGAGAAATTATATGGCATTATTCAAATGCTGGGTGTCTCCACAGCCTATAAAGCAGAGCTTAACAGCAAAAAGGTACAAACAGCCCAAATGTCCTTTAAAAGATAATGAATCAGGGCCGGGGATTTAGCTCAGTGGTGCTGTCACGTGCCATGCAAGCTCAAGGTCCCGAGTTCCATCCCTGGTCCCCCCGCCCCCCAAAAAAGATAATGAATCAACAAAATGTGATCTACACATACAATGGAGTATTATTCAGCCATGAGAAGGAATGACATGCTACAATGTAGACAAACCTCAAAAACATTAAGTAAAAGAAGCTGGATGCAAAAAGTCACATATCGTATGATTTGTGTATTTGAAATACCCAGAAGAGGTAAATCCATAGAGATAGAACCCAGGTGGATGGCGGCCAGAGACTGGGGGAAGGAGGACTAGGTAGTGACTGCTTAATGGGCACAGGGTCTCCTTTGGGGGCAATAAAATGCCATGGAACTAGATAGAATTGGTGTTGTACAACATTGTGAATGTGTTGAAAGCCACTGAATTATTCACTGTAAAATGGTTAATTTCCCCTTCAGTACTGGAGATTAAATCTAGAGCTTTCACACGACACCACATCTCCAGCTCTCTTTAAAATTTTTTTTTTAATTTGAGACAAGTTCTCACTAAGTTGCCAAGTTTCCCAGGCTATACTCAAACTTGTGATCCTCCTGCCTCAGCCTCCAAGAACAGCGGGATTACAAACATGTACCACCTGGCTGGCCTAAAATGGGTAATTTTGTAGTATATGTGAATTGCTTCTGAATTAAAAAAGAAATTTAAAGGTAGCGCTTAAAAATATAGCAAGGGTTAGAGGTGTAACTCGGTGGTCGAGCACTTTCCTAGCATGGGCAAGGTCCTGGGTTCAATCCCCAGCACTACAAAAATAAAACAAAACCAACAACAAAATCAGCAACCCCAGGACAAGTAGGGGGACCAGAAGGCAGAAAGTCAGGCTGCAGAGGGCAAGAGCGAGTCAGAGGCCCCCTGACCTTCTGTCGAGCTGCCCCATGACTGCTGGTCCACAGGCGCTGCTTTGCAGACTGAGAAAAGGCCAATTTAGTTTCAAATGCCAGGCTGCCGGGGTCCAGGACAGGGCATGAGGGCAACCTGCAGGGGGCGCTCTCGGCTGTGGGAGAGAGGCAAACTGGGAGGTCTCCAAGGCTGATGCTTGAGCAAAAGGCCGTCATTAGGGAGGGAGGGGACACTTACAGGGTTGTACTGGGAAAATTTTGCCTTGGCAGCCAGATGAAAAGGGAAATAGAGGCAAGGAGAGCAACAGGGAGGTGAGGCCAGCAACACAGGTGAGAACAACCCTAGGCCGAATGGGAGCTCTGGAAAGGGTGGGGTGCCCAGCTTGGTGGGAGCATGGGGCTGGGGCTGGGGAGGAGCTTCCTGGGCTCCGGGCAGGGAACCTGAGCTGCACAGTGGGCAGAGGACAGGGGCAGGCTTGATTGGGTCTGCAGACAGGAGAGGGGCAGGGAAGTGGGCAGAGGGAGGAGGGAGGCTGGCCAGGCTGAGGCCAGTGAGAGAGGGCAGAGGAGAGGAACGGGGGCAGAGGTACCAGCCAGCCTCCACTATCTGGGTGAGCATAGGAGAGCAGGGCCTTCTGATGGCCAGTACAGCAGTGCCCGTCTTCCATTAGGGCGAGGCAGGGAGGACGGAGGGGATGGGAGTTCAGGAGAGAGAAGTGGACAGGAGGGACACACGGGAAACTGTAAACATGAAAGATACTGATACATGCCTGCACACTCACTCTCACTAATATAAAAACCAGCCCTGACTAGGTGTCGTGGAGCACACCTGTAATCCCAGCTACTTCGATGGCTGAGGCAGGAGGATTGCAAGTTCAAGGCCAGCCTGGGCAACTTAGCAAGACTCCATCTCAAAATAAATAGGGCTGGGGGTGTAGCTCAGAGGTAGAGCCCTTGCCTAGCATGTGTGAGGCCCTGGGTTCCATCTCTAGTACCACAAAAACAACACAAAATAAAAATGCCCCAGCCACATACAAACACAGGCATATGGACACATAGCGCTTCATGCTAACATGTGCATGCGCACGCACACACACACACACACACACACACACACACAGATGCAGACACAATGCAGAGATGGAGCCCCCAGAGCTGACATTCATGCATCACAGATGCACTATAGCCATAGACATCCAGATGTCACCGCAGAGGTCCAAGTAATGGCTACATGGGGACACCCTGTCCCTTCTACACACATGTAGGTTGTCACATACATACACACACTCTACTGTTAAAACAGGCTCATATTTTTCTTTTTTTAGTGCTTTTTAAAAGAGACAGGGTCTTGCCCTGTTGTCCAGGTTGGCTTTGAATTCCTGGCCTCAAGTGATCCTCCCACTTCAGCCTCCCTGTGCCTAGGACTGCAGGTGAAACTACAGGGTGTGCACCACTGTGCCTGGCTTACACAGGCTCATGTGTGGTGACACTCACTGCAAGCATAAGTCTGCTCACACACACCCATGCAGCAAACACACTTAGAGCAGATGCACTCACGCGCGTGCCCACACACACACACACACACAAATAGAGGCCATGCACACACCCAGGCAGCACATAGCCGTAGGACACCACAACTGACCCCATGGGAGGAAACTCTGGGCACCTCCGTAAGAGGCAGCATTGGCTCGGGAGCCCCAGCCTAGGGGCCTGCTGGCCTAGGGAAAGTGACACACAAACCAAGGCCGTTGCCCAACACACCCACCCTGCCTAGCCCAAGGTCAGGGAGGAGCCAGGGCAGGGCCTCACGTGCCTGCCCTGCATCCGTTGCCACCAGCAGCAGATACCCGGCCACCTACGCAGACAGCTGGGGCTGCTTGCAAAACCTTCCCCATCCCTCAGGGTTCAGCTAAAGTGTCTCTTTCCCCCCAGGGAAAGTCCCCTGGCTTCTGCAGACATATGTAACCTTTTAGAATTCTGGTTCTATAGCACCTGGGCAAGTCACTTCACCTCTCTGCCTTTCATTCTTACCTGTGTGAAATGAGAATAACAAAAGCCTGCGTGAATATATATAGATATAGATGGCATAGATATATTGATCAAAATATACAGTGAATGTTTAAATTTTTAAAAATCCATTACAATAAAAGACACCTTGTCATTAATCCCCCTCAAAATCCTCCCCCTCACTTCAAACACTCTGATCCCATCAATCTTGCCCTTTTCTGAAGCAATTCTGGAAGACCTTTATGAAGTGTGATCAAAAACACGGTGAATGCTGGTGCTGAGGGTCATACAACAGAAAGACAGGCTCATAAAAACATTACAGCGTGTCCTCATCCACTTTATTCATCGGATCTGGCTCTGTGCAACTTCTGGCTCTTCCCCAAAGCCAAAAATCACTATGAAAGGTAAAAGTTTTGAATTGATTCAGAACATCAAGACAGCCACAGCAGTGCAACTAAAGACACAAAGGAAGGCTTCTAGGACTGCTCTGGAAATTGCAAGAATAAGCTAAGCATGGTGGCTCTCACCTGTAATTCCAGCACTTGGGAGGCTGAGGCAAGAAGATTGCCACGAGTTCAAGGCCAGGCTGAACTACACAGCAAGACCTTGTCATTTGAAGTGGGGGGGGGGAGTATCTTGGGGGGGGGGTGTTAATGGCAATGTGTCTTTTACTGTAATAAAATTAAAATTGTTTAACATTCACCATTATTTTTCCATCATTCCGCATATGTGAACTGAGAGGGTACATTCTGCCCCTGCCGAAGAGGGCACTGAGGGGCATGGAGGAAGCAGTCTCTTTGTGCTCATGCCATCAGCCATCTGCTGATGGGCTGCCCTCCCCTGTCCCTTCCTCCTGTCTCCTGCTCAGGCTGGAGACTGGGGTCTGAAAGAACATCTGGGGGACATGCAGTTTCTTCTCTCTCCTCTACGATGGACCAAGACAGGCCCTGTGGGGCAATTTGGCCAGTGCAGTACTAGAAAGCCCTCCCAGCAAGGATGGAAATGAGGGCTTGAAACTCTGAATTTCTGCTCCCCTATCTTTGAAGAAAACGGAAGAGGTCACTTCCTCTGTATGGGCAGAAAGATCCGAAAGAGTGGAAATGGCCTGCTGCCTCTCCCTGGCCGAGGGTTCCTCATCTCTCATCCCCACCCACCCGGCCACCTCCTCCCAGCAGAAGCTGGAGCCCGGGCTGGCTGCAGAGCCCTGAGAGCAACTTTCTGCTACCCAAGGGACTGTGGCAGGACTCACCTGGGCAGCAGCTGCCGTGGTCACAAGGACAAGCTCTCAGGCTCTCTGCAGTGCTGGGTAGGACTAGGAAGTGAGGGACATGGGCTGTGTCCTGGCAGTGCATGCCCAGTCCTGCTGATGAATGACCCACATTGAGCCCAAGCCCAGGCCCAGGCTGACCTCTGGTTTCCTTTGCCTCAGGACCCCCTGGAGGCCTGAGTGAGACAAGCTTGAGGTTTTGAACCCCTGCCTTAGCCTGGGAGAGCTCAAGGCCCATCATGAGGCCCAGGGTCACATCCCTGAAAGGTGCTTCCCTTCTCAGCCGTGTCCCTGGGGCACCCCCCAAGCCCTGAGCCTTTGAACCCAGTGGGTTTCCATCTCAGTACACCCAGAGTACACCTCTCTGCTATGATGTGCTGGATGGTGAGGTCCAGCCCCAGGGCCTGGCCCTTTGGCCCCCAAGGACATTAATCCCAAGAGCTAAAAATCTTTTGCACAGACAAACTGAGATATGTGGTCAAGGTACAGGTGGGTACACTGACAACTAGACCTGGGTCTAAGTCAGACAAGCCTGTTGGATGTGCCTGTGGTCCTCACTCAGGCCAGCCCCATGAAGAGCCCCAAGAACTAGCCAAGGACAGGCTGGAATCTGATTTAAGGGACTGGGTCAGGCCTGAGGTCCTTCAGTAGCCATGATGACAGAAACACCCAAACCAGTGACTGCCATGGGTGACCAGACGACATGGGGCCAGGAGTGCTCTAGCTGCAGGTTAGGCAGCATCAGGAACCCTAAAGCCTCCACCTCCAGTCCAGGATGCCTCCCAAGCCAGCCACACACTAGGCATCCAGTGAGAGGGACCAGGACTTTGCCCATCCTACCCTCATCACAGACAGGACTCCAAGGAAAAGCTCCTCCCAAGACTCCTGAAGGAGACTTCCTAGGTCTCCACGCACATGAGGGAAATGAGTCTGAAGGGAAGGGGCTGGCTCAGGTCCCCCCCTCTGCTCACTCACCGGGCTGCAGCTGTGCTCTTGGCTCATCTGATCTGCAGCCTGAGGCCCGGCTCCGGGGTCCCCAAGGGGCAGGGCAGGCACACTGCCAGAGGCCTGGCCTCTGTCCTAGCTTTTCTGGGGAGGCACCACAGCCTCTGAGTACACAGAAGTCACACCCTTGGGTGGGTCTGGACTGAGGGCACCTGATAACCCCACACACCCAGTGCATCTGTGGGGCCCTCTCAGGCTAAGGGGATCCTGGCCTGGAAGGGAGGTGGCTCCTGTGGCAGGAAGACCTTGACCCCAATGTGCCCAGGGGCACAGCCTTCAAAGATAGAAGGGCTCCGGGCCCCAGTTCCCTTCTCCTAGTTTTACATCTCAGCACAGAGAAGCCCGGTGGCCAGGGCCTCCTGCTGCCACTGCTCTAGAAAAGCCCTGTTGGCAAGAACGGACCAATCTCTCTTCCCTCAAGACAGTCAGAATGCAGGTGAGACTCCAAAGAAAGCAGGCCTGGAGCAAAGGTGCTCTCAGGCCCTTCCAGAAGGGAGGAAACCCGGAGGCAGGAGGGTCCTGCTCATGTGCACAAGCTCCTGGGCTACTCTGGAAGCAGCAAGGGATGAAGAAAGGACCCAGACTTCGCAAGCTGACAGCTGTGGGTGGCCGTAATGTGACCTAGGCTAAGTCATGTCACATCTCCAAGCTTCATTTCCTCATCTGGAACACGGAGATGGTTCACGGATGGCTCAGGGCACCGCCGTGAGAGGCGAGTGAGATGAGGCGAGTGAGATGAGGTGAGCGTGGTTGAGCCAGCTACATGGGGAGAGCCTGGGACCTCAGAGAGCCACGGCCGAGACTCAGATTCACATGAACCCCAAGGACTACAGCCCAGCTAGAGCAATATAAAGTCCTTTAGTAACATTCAATTTAATAAAAGAAGAGAGAGATGTAAAAATACTTTTCTTGGAGGCCCTGGGATGGGAAGGCACTGTCAGAACCTGCCTGGCCAGGGAGGTACCCAGCCAGGCAGGAGGATTGAAGCCCTCCTGGGGGGCAGCTGGCCCCAGGGAGTGGGAGAAAAATGGCTCAGGCCTCAGGCAGGAACTGTGCAAATGCCGAGGCCATGAGAGGAGTGATGGGTTTGGGGCTTGGGCCCAAGCACCGTGTTCCCCTGCATGTGCAGACATGCATGGGCCAGCACCTGCTTACTCAATCTGCGGGCGCATACAAGTGCCCATGAGAGAGCGGTGCCTGTACGTAGCTTACATAGAGAGCAGAATGAGGGGTCCCCGGGCAGGAATGGGGGGCTCATCCCAGAGACTGAGGCAGTAGCTTAAAGAAGTCTGTGGAAGTCCAGGGGAGACAGACAGCCAGGTGCCAGCTCTGCTCCCTCCAGGCCTTAGGAGGCCAAGCCCTCCTGCCGTCGCTGGAGGACTTCGATGACACTGCTGATGTCATCCTCAGGCACCTAGTGGGTGGGGAAAGTGGGCAGATTCAAAGCTGAATCTGGCCAGGACTACCCCAACTTCCTGGCCCAGCTGGTACTACCTCCTGCCCACTCACCCTTCCGGGCCTCAATTTCCCTCCAGGAGCCCCTCACCCCAGCACACAGCACTCACCAGAGCATGATCAAAGTTGAAGGTGCTGATGTAGTAGGCAGAGATGTCAGCAGCAGCCAGGGGACCAGCAATCTGGGCAACAATCCCACATTCATCTAAGGGTTGAGGAGGGACACATGTGACTCACACTGGCCTCTACAGATACCTCAAAGGCCTTCCGTACCCCCCAACACAGGGAGCAGCCCTCACCAAAGCCCAGGGGCTGTCCACCGATGCGCACCATCCTCCACAGCTCCCCGGAGGAACTGGTCAGCAGGAGGTTACTGGGGAACCTGGATAGGCAGATGGTGGATAGCAGAGCAGCCCATCTGTCCCCACCCCACTGGGAGCCCCTGGGGAAGATCCACCTGCTGGCCTCAGAGTCTGCACTCTGCCTTTTCCTTTCTTGGGGCTGACCTGGGGTTTGTAGCCCACCCAGGGTCAGGGATCACATACTTTTTCTGCGTCTCGGAGTCCATGACAATGGAGATGTATCCCTCAATAAGGGAGAAGGCAAAGAATGGGATGGAGCTGGATTCAGGACTGCTTGAGGCTGCCTCCTTGGTGGCGCTGGGGAAGGACAGCAGGATCAGAAGCTCTACAGGGCACCCTGCCCACTCCATCTCCTCACCACCGGCCTCCAGACCCCAGGGAAGAGGCTGGCACGGGTGGCCGTGGCCAGGCCCTTACATCCAAGGCCCTGACCTCCTGAAGGTGCTGGTGAAAATGGGGGAGGAGGACACTGAGCCCTGCTCATGCCAAAGATGAAGGACCCCAGGGACAGAAGGCCTGACTAAGGCCTGGCTCAGGTGTGGCTCTGCCAACACCACAGGAACAGGCCTAGCTTCAGGATCAGGACCATCCCTGTCCATCAGTGGAGGGCACGTGGGCATCATGGGCCAGCAACCCTGAGACACAAGGCAGGGCACAGAGTGGCTGAAGAAGCACAGGGAACAAAGGTGGTAAAAGAGTGTACAGGATGGTGGTGAGTATAGAGACTAAGCACACACACCTGTGTGAGTAGAAGAGGACATCGATGAGGGTGGTGGCAATGGCTGGCAGCGTCTCAGGGTCCAGTGTGAGGACACAGAAGCGGTTCTGTGGACTCTGAATGGGATGCACCGTGGGACTTGGCCCTGCTGGGGTAGATAGCTCCGGGTGAAAGGCATTCGTGGGTTGGGGCGACCCCTGGTGGCCAGTTGGGGGAAAGCCTGGGCTAGGCGTGGGTCGCGTTCTCCAGGAACCAGCCTGGGCCCTCCCGATCGCCCCGCCTTCCCTCTTGAGAGGCGGCCAGTATCTTCTGGTCTCCCGGGGCCCACAGTCATACCTACACAAGGGAAGGGCCCCCGTGGGAAGAGGAAGACCGGCCCAAGTTTGAAGGGCAGGGAGCGGACCTCACCAGGCTGGGTGCGGGGAAAGCCATTGCTGGAATCATCAATATCAACAGGCACAGGCTCCCCGCCCACCTCGCGGTAAATGTCGAACTCCTGGGCCAGTGTATGGATCACCACAGATAGGTCCTGCTCCCGCACCTGGGCCAGATGCAGATGGCAAACCATGTGGCTCCCTCTGACAATCATGCCCACCCTGCACTGTGCCAGTTCTTGTGGGAAACTCACCAGGATGAAGTCTGTCTGGTAAGTGGACAGCATCAGCACGGACACGTGGTGCTCAGCCAGTGGGGTGATGACAGAGCGAGCGATCTTGCTGACTCCAGCAGCCTGCACTGCCGCGCCACTGTGAGAGGACACGTTCATCACCAGCCATGTGGCATCAGCCACCTGCAGGAACTCGGATGGGGGCAGCTCTGTGGGCAGGAGGCACATGCCTAGTCAGGGCCTGGCCCTCTCTGATCTTGAATTTCCCTGTTTCAAGGCGGGTTCTAGCAAAGAAAAGGCAGGTCTGGAGCCTGGGTCTATCTCTCCCTAGCTCTGCTGGGGAAGTATGCAAAGACTAAGTGCTTCAGTGCTGATCGGCTAGGGATGGAGCAGCAAAGATCAGAGCTCCAGACTCAGATCTAGATTCAAATCCTGGCTTTGCAATTTACTTGCTGCGTGATGTGGGGAAAGTGATTTAAGCCTGTTTCCTCATCTGAGCCTTTTTCCGTATCTGTAGAATGGGATAACATCATTCCTCAAGACTGAGTAACACACATTGCATCACCTGGCACCACCAGGGGGCGCCAGCAGCCCATGTTTGCCTCTGCGGATATCCTTCCCCTTTTGCAGCCTTAGACAATGTGGTAAGTACAAACGGGGAAACTAAGGCCCGGATGGAGCAGCGGGGTGGGCGTGGGGGACGGGACAGGCCAAGCTCCAATTGGCTAGCTTGAGTCTCTACGCCTGTGAGGCTGGAAGAAGCGCGAGCCAGATGTCAGCTCCAGGGCCCTGGGAGGGACCAGGCTGGCATCCAGTTCTCAGCAGGGGCCAAGGCCGCTGCTGTTCACCCAACCACAGCCAGGAGGCCCCCAGGACCCTGCCCTGGGATGGCTGCCGGCTCCTGCATTCCTTCCCCAACCCTCAGACTCCTGGAGCTCCCAGACCAGCAGAGGAGCTGACCCGCATTGGAGAGACTAAGTACAAGGGGAAATAAGTAAGCCCTCGGGGGTTAAAACCGCGACAGGAACCTGGACTCTCTCCTGAAACTGTAACAGTGCCCCTGCCCGCCAAAGACTGCCAAGTGACCCTCCCTCACACAGCTTCTCATGGGCTTTAAGTTTAAAAAGCCCTCACAGGACCCTGTTAGAGTACCACCATAATTATATAATTTACCTAGGAGGAAAAAGCTGAGAGGGGAAGTGATTTGCTCAAGGGCACACAGCCAGTGTAAGTGGTAGAGCAGGATTCAAACCCAGATCCACATCTTTAAGGCCCAAGCTCGTGGGTCACTGGACTCCAGTATCTAGTAACAGCCGTGTGGAGGAGAGCACGAGTCCAACCCCCACCCACCTTTAAACCCCTCCTCGTCCACCATGAGCGTGTAATCCTCGGGGGTCTCGGTCAGGCTGAAGAACTTGCACCTGGTGGGGGATAGGGCAGATTTTCAGCTCGGACGACGAACAGGCAGGGGTTGGGGAAGAGGCCTAGTGGACTTCGTCCTGTCCTCCCCGAAGGACCCCCCGCCGGGCGCCTTCCTTCCCTAGCCGCCTCTATCTCCTCACCTGAGCAATGGGTGCTCCCCGGCCCCGTCTCCAGGGCCAAGGACTATTTTCCATCCCTACTCCTCTCCAGGAGGGAGGAGAGGCTCAACCGAGGCGACAGCCCTGGGAGCGTCAGACCTTGGGCCTCCCTCGGCCGGACCCTCTGGCCTGGTGGGAGGCGTCTGGAAGGAACTCCCCGCAGTGTCCCCCACTTCCCGCGGCTTGGAGTTAAGCATTGGGAGGGGGCACAGGCCCAGGCCGGATGACAGCCGATCTCCCCACTCGCCCCACCCGCCTCGCAGAAGTCCTAATCCTCTGACCCTGGCCCAGAGCGACAGCAGAGCCCCCACCCTCATCTGCGCCCCCGAACCCGGGCGCGCACCGGCTGCGGTGGGGCAGGAAGAGTAGCTTGATGAGCGGGTGGGTGTAGAGCCAGAGACCCTGGCGGGCGAGACTCAGCACCCGCACCCGGTGCTCTAGGATGTGCAGCTCCATCGCGGCTCGCGCAGCCCTGGCCCCGCCGCTAGCTAGACCCAGGCCGAAGGCGGGGCGGCAGGGTGGCGCCCGGGACTTAAAGGAGAAGCAGTGCGGTTATGTCCACACCGCCCGCTTTGCTGCGGACCGGTCCAGCCCGGCGCCCAGTCAGACTTCTGGCTCCTTGATGGCCACGCCCCGCTAGGCTCACAACCAATGCAAGGTGGCCACGCCTCCTTCCAACGCCAGAACTTCACCCAGCTCGTATCAGACCGCCTAGTCCCACCCCGGAAGGCTCCACCCCACTAGCCCTGGTTTAGGAACCGGTGCCAGACCCCAACCCTTTGGCGTTCTCCAGGCTCCGCCCATGCCATACCCCCTCCCCGGCCCCGCCCTTCCGCAGGACTCAGCTACCCTGGGTTTGGGAGCATACCGGAAGCAGAGGTCATGTCCCTCTAGGTACACACGTGGATAGACTGAAGTCATTGAGAAGGCCTAAAGAACCGGAGCTTGGCTGGGACCGGAACGCTGGCCCGAGCCCCTGGAGCGTGGAGAGACAGAAGCCAGTAGTGCAGCCTCGGTGACCATGTTTTGCTCCCCAGTGTCCGGGTGCCTTTCTCTGTCCTTGCTGTAATGGCTCTAATGGCCCTGGAGGCAGAGGTGACTGAGGTGGGATCCCCAAAGTAAGGACTGCCTAGGATTGGTATTGATAATACCCCTCCCTATTTTGTGAGTGGGTGCTGACCAGACCTGGGTGGCCCTGTTTTTCTCAAATTCCAGAGTAGAAGGCTTCTAACCTCACAGAGATGCGAGCCCTAGCCACATCTTTCTGAGCAATACGTGGAGGGGTAGTGCACTGAAGGTGGCCTGGGCCTCTGACTTGAGGTCCCTCAATACAAACCAACCCCAGCAGTGCTTGGGCTAGGATTGCCCGGGACCCAGGCTTTAAGGGACAGAACCATGCAGTCGGCCTTACTGGGTACTCAGACCTCAGGCCAGAGACTTGAGTCAGAGGCTGCCCCAAAGCCTGCAGTGGTTAGCAAAACCCAACTGGCCTCGGCACATCTGAACTGGCTTCAGCCCCTAGGAGGCCCCCAGTTGGCAGACACCAAGATCTTATCCGGCCTCTCAAGCAAGCATCAGCAAGCTCAGGTTGACTCCATGGCAGGACCCAGCATGCTGCAGAGGGCTCTAATCTGGCCCAAGCATCCTTAGGGCTCAGATCCGGGCCTCTGAACCAAGTAGGGTAAGCAGGCCTCAGGCATGATTGGGCCTGCCTGCTCTGGAGCCTTCACCACAAACAGAAGGAAGCCTGGCTAAGCCTCATCCCTGACCTCTTGGGATTCCCATGGAACACTGCAGCCACCACATCCTGGCCTGTCCCTTGGAGGACTGGGGGGCAAGGAGGAGTGTTTCTCAAAGGCTGAGCCCTTCTCATCAATGGTAGGTGCAGATTAGGGTGGGAAGCCAAAGGAGTGAGGGGCAGGGGGCAGGGAGTGGGTATTCTGTACTGAGTCTCCTGCGGCCATTCACTTCCTCAGTATCCCCAGCTGTATCAGAACACAATGTTCTAGGCCCAGGGGGATGCCTGAAAGCTCAGAGGCTCTGCTTCTCCCTCTTGCTCCCCCACCCCCTCCCCCTGTGGCCTGGCCCAGCTTGGTCTCCTGCCAGGAACAGCAGCTATTGTTTGACTGGAAAAGCTGCTTCCTCAGCAAGGGGTGGGGGTGGGGGGCTGCTCTCCCAGGGACACCCTGTCCTCACTCTTGCTGGTCATCAGGTTGTCACCAAGCATGGGCCTGGCCCCTCAGTGGAAGAGTCAGGTCACTTGGTCAGGAGAGGAAGCTGAGGGGCTCTGGGTGAAAGTGTGGTTCTGCTTGTAGGGGTGGGTTCTCACCCCACTCCTGTTTTTACCTATCAGGCATGTCACACAACCAGCCCAGCATGGCACATAGTAAGTGCTCAGTAAATGGAAGGCACCATTTTATCAAGGACCCAGGTTTCCTCCCCTCACCCATCTGTCTACCATGGAGGCCTGCCTGAGCATGTGAGGACATTCATGGAGCCTCACTCCTTGTGCCAGCCCCTGATCCAAAATGAGTACTCGGAAGCTAATTGGGGCCTTGGAGGGGGAAGAGCCTGACGCCACCTCCTCAGGAACCCCTTCCCCCTTAGGGATGAGTAGGGAACAAGGCCTCGACAGTAGGCTCCAGCCCTAGTGTCCCTAATCTATGGCAGTAAGTGTACATGGAGCAGCAGGGATAGGGTGAGGGAAAACAGGAGCCAAGAACAGAGGCTGGCCCTGTACTTGCTAACTCCTCTGCCAAAGGCACTTCTCAGAGAGGCTCAAGCTGGGATTGGCACAGGAGGAGCTCTATATGGTGTGAAATAGAGATGCTGAGTGTCAGGGCAGCAGCCCTTCCCTGGCCCTCACTGCACACCAGCTCTTTACACAAGCCTGTTTATTTCTGTACAAAACCACATTTCTATTTTACACAAAGAGCACCCCACATGCTCCCCTCATGCCAGCACCCTATCCCTAGGAAACAACCCCAGGAGAAGCGGGCTGAGTGAGGCCCCACCCTCTTGGCCCTGGCTTCTGCCTGTGCTGGCTGGGCCAGCCTGAGCTCCACTCTAGAGAAAATAAATAAAGAGGCTCAGGCAGAATCTGTGGTGGGCCAGCCAGACTGTCCCAGCTTAGTGCCCAAGCGTTTGGGCCCTCAGGTAAGCAGGCCCTGGAGTGTCAGTCTTCGAACCAGGTAAGGCAGGTGTGGAGAGACCCTGCCCCGGAGGCCCAGGCTTCGGAGGTTACAAGTAGGTGTCCTCACTCTCTTGGGAGGTCAGGCTCTCTTGGGAGCAGTGATGGGCTAAGTCCTGAGGAGCTGAGTCCTGGGGGACTGGATCCTGGGAAGCTGGGTCTTTCAGGGTCATATCCTGTGGGGCACATGCATCTCCTCCAGTGGTCACTGCTGTGGCTTGACTGGGGGCTGGGACCTTGTCCAGATTCCCACTTGCTATTTTGTGCTTCTTCTGCTCCTTCTGAGCCTGTGTGGACAGTTTGGGCTTGGCCTTGGAGCTGGCGAGAGGTACATCTGGGGGCAGCCGGATGGATGGTGAAGGTTGCAGGGCACCCCGGGGACTGGGCTCCGCATCCAGGATGGCCTTGGCACCATGCAGCCTGGGCGGGGAGTGGCACTGCAGTTCACCCCGGGTCTCCTGCCAGCGCCGCAACTGGATGAGGTGCTCACGCTCAATCTGGTGCTCTGTCACGGGCAACTCCACCACCTGTGGGGTGAGTTAGGGGGAGATGGGTACTAGGAAGAATGTCCTTTGCCTTCTCCTCACCCCCAACCTGAGCCCCACTTTCCCTGGCCTCAGGAAGGATGGGAATCTGTTCCAAAGCTATGGCCACAGGTCCCAGAGCAGACTGCCTGGTGAGCTGGATGCAAGACACTCACTGCCTCAGAGGAGAAAACTGCCCACAACTCACAAGTCCACTTGCCTTACTTACTGGGTAAAGGTGTGGTGCTCAGACAGGGCAACACCCACTCTCAGCCAACATGTCCCACTGCCCAGGGCAGCCACTCAGACTCCAGTTCTACCACTTTCTGGCTACTGACTAGGGGGAGGTGCTTTGTGATCCTGCCTCTGGGAGCCTCCATTTCCTCATGTGTAAAGTGGGCATAGTGCCACAGCTCTCAGCAGCTGCTGGAGAAGCAAGTGCACAAATGGCCACTGCTTCTGCCCTGCACACTGGCACCACCCCTGCCCTTGCTTGGCTCTGGTTTCCACCCAGAGAAGCTGATTGTGCACGTGTTACCTCCTTACAGTTGGAGAGCCAGGTATCCACAACAGAGAAAATAAAGCCCAGGCAATGACTGCAGGACCAGGGAGGAAGAATTACTGGTCCAAGCTCCCACATGGCTTAGATAAGGAAGGCCTGCAAACCTCAGCCTCTCTGTGCCCTGCCCTCCTCACCCAGACAGGACAATGAGCTCCACCTGCTGTCCTAGGCTGCCAAGCCATGGACCTGGCACAGATGATTCACCTTGATTGGCAGGGGGTTACCAGGCCTCCCTCCCCATCATGGTAAGGGGCAGATGTGGGCCACACCTCCTGAACCAGGAATGCTTCCTGCATGATCTTGGGGCTGAGGCTCCGAAGTTGCTCGATGGTCTCATACTGGCCCTGGCAGGCTTTGAGCTTCTCAGGAGAGCCCAGCGCATGCTTCAGCAGCACCAGCCCCACCCGGAAGATGATCTTGACTCCTGCATGGAGGGGTGGGGGGGCAGGTGGTGAGTGCAAGCGGGCCTGTTGGGTGGTTCTCTGGCATTTCCCAGTCCAGCCCAGTACCTTCACAGAAGAACATGTCCCAGACGCGCAGCACAGAGCTCCAGGGCAGGGTGCGTGCAAAGGCACACATGAACCACTCTGTCATGTACAGTAGTGGGTCGATCTTCTGCCGACTGAGGTGCTTATGGGCCACAGGTGACACCTTCTGCAGCAGTGAGAAGAGGATCTCACCATCCAGCTGGATCGCCTCCTGGGGGGACAGAGTCCACATGGCCATGAGCACCTGCACGGGCTCCTAGCACCAGGTAGACATTTATTTATTTATCAGGTGGCTACTGCTTGCAAGGTGCTGAGATACAACCATGAGCAAATTAGACACAGCTGGTCCCGCTCACAGGCTTACAGTGCAAAGGGGCCCCGCCACACAGGCACTGGGTAGAGGTGAAGGGGTGAGTGCCCCAGGCATGGAAGGTATGAGATCAATCAGTGCTATGAAGGCTCCTAGCTGGTGGGGTCAAGGAAAGCTCCCCTGGTCTGAAAGCTGAGGGAAAACAGGAGTTTTCAGGGGAAGGAAAAGGAAATGGAGCTTCAGACAGAGGTTTAAGTCAAGGCTGAGGCAAGAGGGAACTTAGTGCCCTGAAGAAATTTCAACCCTGCCAAGTGGCCAGAGTAGCTGGGGACAGAGATGGAGGTAAGTGTGGAACCAATGATGTCAGTGTCCAAAAGACTTGACCCTGGCAGGCCTGGAGGGCTATAGAGATAAGGGCCACAAAGGACATTCAGCCTGGAGCAGGGCCCGGGTCAGCTGAGCACTCACCAGTTTCTCACTGTAGTAACCAGGCAGGTACTTCTCACAGATCTGTACCAGACACCAGA